TTGATTGGAGTTCCAAAAATCTGTGCAATATACTGTAGGGATTCTTTGGCATGGAAATGTATAGGGAGATCATGAATAGAAATCCAGACCGGAAGGATGGGTGATTCAACTTTAGGGTCAAAGAAAGGTGTCCATTTTGAAATCATCATTTTAAAAGAACCCAGCATCCATTCCCTACGCTTGAAACATCTATGATATTCCTCCTCATTAGAGAAGTTAAGAAGGATGTGTGCATTGTCAATGAGAGTGACAGAGAAAGCTTTGAAGCCAATGCGTTCCAGGTTTTGTCTAATGAAATCAAGGCTAGGTCTCCCAAAGTAGAAAGATCCAACCAAGGCCTTAGAAAATCTAGATGCCAGAAGACATACCTCTTCATTAGTGAAGGCAATACATGGAATTCCTTTGTGTTTATCCACTTGCCTGGGGGGAGAGTAATGGGAGGGATCTTGTTTGCTGCTGAAACAGTGGCTGCTGCATAGCTCTTCCCTAGCTTTGCTGGTCCAGGAAAGAGTGAAGAGTTGATGGAGGGGAAGGGGTTGTTGGAGGAGGAAGGTAAGGTTGGCAGCTGGGGGTGGCCGGAAGCCTCCCCGGAGGAAGTCGCCGGCATAAACTTACGGCATGAAAGGCTAGAGAGAGAAAATTATGATCATTATATATATATATATATACATACATACATACATACATACATACATACATACATACATACATACATACATACATATATATATATATATATATATATATATACATACATATATATATATATACACACACACACACAGGTGGCAACTCTAGCCACCCTTCATCTTCATATCCAGCATCCAGCAAGCAGCAACACACTTCTCAGCCCCAACATCACCATGCCACAGCAACTCCCAAGTTCAACCAGCCCTCTACTGATGCAAACAACCTGCAACAAAGAAAAAGCTACGCTGCTGCCATCATAGCTTCTACACATGAGGTACCTATCCCCACCCTCCCTCTCAAACCTGTTGAAAAACTCAAAGGTTTACCATGTGTTTCCTTCTCTGAAGAAGAAGTAAAACTAGTGGCCTCCAGATTTTCTAAGGCTTTAGTGGGAACCTTCTTCTTTGGAAGACCAAGCCTTGATTTTGTGAGACACAATCTAGAAAGAATAGGCTTCTCAGCTTTTTCTGTGACCCTCATTGATTCCACACATATTCTCCTTAACTTTTCCTCCCAAGAAGAATACCACAGATGTTTCAAGAGAAGGGAATGGACTCTAGGTTCATTCAAAATGTTTATTTCTAAATGGACACCATCCTTTGACCCCAAATTTGAATCACCTATTATGCCTGTTTGGATTGGTATCAAGGACCTTCCTATTCACCTACACTCAACAGACTCTCTGCTAAGAATTGGCCAAATCTTTGGCAAGCCTATTAAACTGGATACCACTACAGAGAACTTTGGCAGACCTTCTCTAGCCAGAATATGTGTTGAGGTTGATATTTCTCAACCTCAAATCTCTAAATTCTTCATCCAAAATGGGCCACAACAACTGTCTCTAGAAGCCATTTATGAAGAGCTTCCTACATACTGTCATACATGTAAAGGCATCTCTAGACACAGTGGAGAGTGCAAGTCTCTGAAAAACAAGCAAGCCCAAGTTCCTAGCCAGTCACAGGAAAATTCTAACCATGGCCGGAATATTCCCAAAAATCCCAAATCCAAAACAATCGCCATTTTCCAAAAGAAAACAGACAAAAATAGCCAGCCACCATGTTCTGATATACCATCAACAAGTACATTACAATCAACCCAAACCCCACCATCTAGCCTGACACCACATACACCACACACCCATAATAACAATCAATCATCCTCATACAGTAATCCCACACCCAAACAGAATGAAAAACCCATACAAGAAGGGCCAAAACACACACCTGTCAACACAACCTTTATGCCCACACAAAATGCCACCCCCACACACAACCAGGAAACCCCTAACCTAGAACCCACACACAACCAGAAAACCCCTAACCCAGAACCCACTCAGCCCACATCCAGTAACCAACCAATAGCCACAAGCCCATATCATTAAACAACCCCTAACACCACTTCAACAGAAAACCCCCAAATCCAAACAGAAATCCACCCCAACCCCAAAATACCTGAATCCCACACCCCAACTAACACCACAGCTGAACCAACCCCAACAGAAACCAACCATACCAGATCCCTCACAACCTCACCTTCAGAAAGTGAACTCTTACAAGCAATCATGCAGGATATCTCAAACATCTGCAAAACATCATCAGAAATCATGCCCTCAAAAGATGACTCATACATTCAGAACTCAACTTTAAAATTCAATGTGAATTATATAAGTGATTCTGAAACACATATACCTGAAGGTCCAGAAAGTCCCTCTTCTCCAACCATAAACCAGGAACAAAATGCCCCTGAAAATGAAGGATTCACAATTTTCAACACAAGGAAATCCAAAAGACTCCTTAAAAAATCCAAATCAAATAGTTCCTCACAAAACAGTCATCAATGAATTGCCTCTTTTGGAATACCTGTGGGATAACTTCTAAAAAGGAGAGGTTATCCATATTAGTTTCAAAACACAAAATTTCCATCCTCACCATCATTGAACCCAAATCCCATCCTAACAACCTCTCTAAACTTCTTTTTGATCTGGGTTTCTCCAAATCCATCCACAGCTCCAGCAACAGAATTGGATCATGTGGAAGGAAGAACACCTGACCTACATCAATCACACAGATCAGGGCCAAATTCTCAATGTCCTCTTCCACTGCCAACAAACAAACAAAGATCTTCTTTTCTCAGGAGTCTATGGTAAGCACACCAGAGAGGAAAGAAAAGATCTCTGGGAAGCAATCACCAACTGCAATAAAAACAACCATGCTATCTGGATAATTGAGGGAGACTTTAATGCCATATCCTCCATAGAACATCATAAAGGTAGGAGCACCCCTTGCCTCAACAGTATCCAGGACTTTGATAACTGTATCATGGACAATGGGCTTTATTCCCCCCCC